TTTTTTTTTTTTTTTTTTTTTTTTTTTTTTTTTTTTTTTTTTTGGGACAGGCAGAGGGGACAGGGAGAGAGAGAGACAGAGAGAAAGGTCTTCCTTTGCCGTTGAGTTCACCCTCCAATGGCCGCCGCTGCAGCCGGCGCACCGCGCTGATCCTGGCAGGAGCCAGGAGCCAGGTGCTTTTTCCTGGTCTCCCATGGGGTGCAGGGCCCAAGCACCTGGGCCATCCTCCACTGCACTCCCTGGCCATAGCAGAGAGCTGGCCTGGAAGAGGGGCAACCGGGACAGAATCCGGCGCCCCAACCGGGACTAGAACCCGGTGTGCCGGCGCCGCAAGGTGGAGGATTAGCCTATTGAGCCACGGCGCCGGCTTATGGATTTTTTAAAAGAGATTTATTTTATTTATTTGAAAGGCAGAATTACACAGAGAGAAGAGAGATTCCCTTCCTCTCTCTAATGTTATCATTGGCTGGGATTGGGCCATGCTGAAACCAGGAGATGGGAACTCCATCCAGATTTCCTGCACAGGTGGTGGGGCCCAAGTATTTGGACCATCTTCTATTGCTTTCTCACATGCAGTAACAGGGTGCTGAATCAGAAGTGGAGCAATTGGGACTGGAACTGGTGCTCATATGGGATGCTGGTATTGCAGGTGGTGGCAATGCTGTCCCCAAATGTTACACTATTGGATGAGGTAATTCCGATTCTCTAGTAAGTAAACCCTTGAAGGGGTTTGTGTTGTCTGATTTCTGACTTCACTCTAAGTTTAGAACTTTCAGTAATTTGAATATGAATCAGTCCCTGGATTCATGCAGACATTTAAATACCAAAGTTGTAAATTAGTGATATTAAGAAAGTGGAGGGGCCCACACTGTGGCGCAGTGGGTTAAAGCCCTAGCCTGAAGCGCCGGCATCCCATATGGGTGCCGGTTCTAGTCCTGGCTGCTCCTTTTCTGATCCAGCTCTCTGCAATGGCCTGGGAAAGCAGTAGATGATGACCCAAGTGCTTGGGCCCCTGCACCCACGTGGGAGACTGGGAGGAAGCTCCTGGCTGCTGGCTTTGGATCGGCACAGCTCCGGCCATTGCGGCCCTCTGGAGAGTGAACCAGCGAATGGAAGACCTCTCTCTCTGTCTCTGCCCCTCTCTGTAACTCTGCTTTTCAAATAAATAAAATAAATCTTTTTTTTTTTTTTAAAGAAAGAAAGTGGAAACTTAATCCAGTTGTGTGTATAGGACATGGGCTTGGTTGGAGGTCTTTTAGTCGTCAGGAGGAGTGTGCACATGAAAGGTAATTCTCATGAGGGGTTTGGTTATAAAAGCCTGAGCGGGGCCTAGCCTCCCTCTCTACTTCCTGGTTTGCCATGTGCTCCATCTTCCAGGCATACAGGCTTCCATTGCCAACCCACCATCCTCACAGAGGCCAAACTGATGTGGCCACTCAGTTCTGGATTTGAATCTCTAAAGCTGAGCTAAATAAACCTGTTCTCTTAAAAAAGATACCCCAGGTATTTGCTAAGATGCTGAAAAACAGAACGAGTGCTTACCTGATCCAGAGAGCGGTTACCTTTAAATATGCAATATATATTGCTTTTGAAACTGAAATAAGTACTCTTTTGGGCATATTATTAATGAACTGACAGTTCAGCCTAATTTTCACAAGCTACTTAAACCAAATACTTAATGATATTTGAACTCATTACAGTTATTTCACTTAAAATGAATCCTCCAGTTCAAATATTGTAAGAAAATCATAGTGTTCCTTTGCATATATTTTTTAACACAATGAAAACTTTTTTTATAATTTATTGCCACAATGATTTCAAAAGTGTATGATGCTTGTTTCTTGTCCTGTGAGCTAAAAATTTTATACTTATATAGTTAGATACAAAGCTTAGTCTCAGGAAGTATACAGTCTGATATTGCATTAAATATATCCACAAGAATAAAGGAGTGATCTAATGGAGAGAGATCAAGTAAGATCAAATGA